ATTCACATTTCTGAACATATATCAAATGAAAATCCCACTTCCGTCACTTGGCGAACTGTCGGTCCGTTCGTACTTGGCGAAGTGTGTGTATACATGTTGAGTGACAGTGATGTGTGTGTATTTCTTTATTTACATCGTTTGTCGCGTGCGTCTAGCGATGCGGCTCTCAATCGATATTGTGAATGAACGCGCGTGTTTGTTGATGAGTTTGATACTGCGGTGCGCTTGAGAAAACAGACGTTTTTCAGCTGATTAGCGATGGTGTGCAGTAAAGAGGAATGCGATTCAAAGTTTGTACCGTTATCGTGTTTTGATCATTTGCACGCTTTTGTAACTTTTATGGCTTACATACGTTGTGCGGTGTTCGGGCGTTAGCATATGTTCAGTGATAAGTCAATACGCTGATGAGTTGTTACTTGTATTGGTTAGTATACAAGTTCGTCATTTAGCTGGATTTCGTGAAGTTGTGATTTTAATTTGTGAATGATTTGTCTCATGCACGAAGTTGTCGATGTCAATCATTTTGTCGTAGAAAGGCATAATTTCTGCGATCGTTAAGTAGCAGATTTCTATCGAAAATTTTATCAGAACTTCCGGTTTAGCGATTACCATCGTGTACATTTTAATTTTAATGAGGCGACGGTTTCGTTCAGAAAACGGAACGAGTTTTGATTCGAAACGTTCTTGTAAAAAAAATATGAACCCTGACAGGATGATCACTTCTCTCGTTCCCTGTGGGCTAGTGCGAAAAAATTCTCGACAAGCTACATTAGCTTCATCGCGGGTGCCGTAATTAGAGAAAATTTATTGGAGGCTCTTCAGATATAGACAGTCTAGAATGATGGTTTGTTCACAAAAAGAAAAAAATGTGGGAAGGAAACTAGAATTGCTAATTGCAAAGAGAATCGTTTTTAGCACTTGCAATTCCAATGCTCTTTCTCGTGCTCACTCTACAGAGTGAATCGAACTCCTTGTTCACGATCTATAACCTTTGAATAAGTGTATGCCTGAAATGAGATGTGAACAATTATCGCTTTCAATCATTGCAATATTTGAAGGGGTTTGAACCATCAGTCGTAATAATCGTTACCCAAACCATTCATTGATCTCAGTAATCCTAGAGGCATGCTAAATTAAAATCATACGTTCTTAATGCTTTAATGATGACCTCGATTTTTAATTTTTTTGCTCATACGATTAGAATGTTACTAACTCGCCTTCAACCGCTTACTACGACAAATTTTTCATAGTTTATTTCATGTGTTCATTCACGGTTAGTGATAATTTGTCGATTTTCAGTATGTTAATTCAAGTTTACAATCGTCAGTGCTGAACAACGTCATATGGTGATACGTAAAAAATAAAGTGGATGCATTCTGCCATAAGAATCTTATCATCCATTGATTATTTTATTATCTGTCCTGCAATCGCTTCCGATAGTTCTCTGTCACTGAATCGACAATAACAAACTTGAATTCGTCGATATTTGAACAAATTGCAACCAGACTACAGTACAGAAGAATAGCAACCGTAGATCGATTGTACTACATTGTGTTTGTGGCAAGATGCCGGCCACTGAAGCAATCCCGATAAGAGCTCATTACCAAGAGGGTGGTGTGGCTGCTGGAGGCACATTTTGCAGTGAGTCACTGGATGATTTCTCGCATTCCATCGATACACTCAGCGATATGACACCGATCGAAAGAGTAACACGACAAAACAGTGGAGAGGCTGATTTGGTGAGTTCGTTGGTTTGATTGGTTGCTTGTTTGTTTTCGTTTTTGTTGATGGATTGCTGATTCACTTGTGTTATCGCTGAACTTGATCGTCGTGGAAAAGAAGTGTAAAATTGGGAAATAATGATGCGCAAACGACACTTGTTCAGTGTTGAGAATACTCTCAAGTGTAGATGCTAGAATCAGTGAGTGATGATAAAACTTGTTTGAGTGTTTCACATTCGAGTGGATTGAAATCGAGGTGATAGGGAGTTATGGAATGTATCTTTGTTCAGTACTCTCCTCTTTGTTTATTTTTGTATTGTTTTTTCATGTTGAATTTTCTCATTTCTTATTCATATTACGTTTGCATTCTTCAGAACATCTCTATCCCAGTAGTAGGTATTTCATAAAGAGTATTTTCTGATTCACTTTTTTTCGTTCAATCCGTTCGAAGTAAGATATGAATGTATGCGTACAATTTTGTATAACTGTTGTTCATAATCATAATTGTTGAACTGAATCAATGCGAGAGCGCATTTGATTCACTGCGATTATTGATAAACGAAGTGTGCATGAGAGAATCAATTCAGATTTGTATTATATTATCCTAACTTTTCACAGAGGTGCTCGATTAATTGTTTTGTTTCATATCGACGCAAAAGTTGTTATTGAGATATTGATCCTGGAGAAGAATGCTCGATAAAATTCTTCGTGATAATAATTGTAATGATTAGAATCTGAGGACAGTTATTTGTGATTCATCCCATTGAAAATTATCTTTTTTGATGCAGTTCGTTAATGAACAACTGTTATTATGACTGGGAAGAGTGAAGTATCATGGAAAGTTTGCAGGATAAATCGCGTGAAAACGACTTGCCAATAGAGAAGATGTATGGCGAGAGTGTGGAGTGTTGTACGGACACAGTGAACGGATATCTTTATTTGACACAGTATCGCATCATAATAATCAACGAGAGCATCAATGCCATCGCAACAATACCGCTGTTGGCTGTCGACTCAATCGAACCGAGAGACGTCTTCATCTTGATTATTAATTGCAAGAGTGGACGTACATTCAAGTCGGTTTCGTTCCATCACTTTTTGTTAATTTTATTGCAAGATTTAGTAGTTCGTTGCACAGAAAGTTGGTAATATATCAACAAATTAACAAACGCAAAAATGAATAATATTGTCGTATGATTGTTGTTCATCATTGGTGGCAATGAGAGTCAGTTAGAAGGGAATCCAAATGAAACGTTATGCAAATAAAAGTTCTCCTATTCTCAGTAACTGGAATCCCCAATTTTGATGAGGGATGTATTTGTCGTTTCGATTGCAAGTTTTCATTAATTCTTGTTGTAACAACGTCAACCGATGATCAGAAGTTTAGTTCGCAAGTTTCACTTAAATAATAAGTTCTCCTGAATTTGAAATTCGAATATAACAAAACAAAAAATGAATGAACAAAACTGACGTCAGCGATTTGGAATAGCTAACTTGTTAAAATTGATACGCTTGAACGGGGTAATATGCATGAACGAATCGAAGAGGAGCCGTTTGATGACTGAAAGGTGACAGCTAAAGAAACGCTCGTTGTTTGATTGTTGTGTTCGGTTGCAGAGTAACGGCTAAAAGCAGTGAGATCGCTTGTGAATGGTTCAAAAAGCTCATGCAAAAAACATGCTCTCCACGATCAGTGAGTGACATCTTCGCGTGGCGGTTCGCTGAATACGCGAAGGTTCGTCATTTTTATGCTTTCAGAAATCTGAATGATACTAACAATAAGTTTAGTTGAATACAGTCTTTATGCGAACAAGAAATGAGATGAAATTTTGAATTGTTGACTTGAATGATATTAAATTTTTTCGGTAGATTTTCATTTAAGTCGGAATAACGTTGGTAAGCAATGAGTAATGAGTATTTGTTTGTTGCGCAGTAAGATCACGATTATTTTAAATTTTATCGATTTTGTTTTGACTGTGAGAAGAAACAAAATTTTTATTGGTTATATATTTAGAAAATATACTTTTAAAAAATAAGAAACAAAAAAAAATTACATTTTAGAAGAAAATATACTCAGACGAAAAAGCTTCACCGTGTTGGCTGAAGACTATGGAGCGATACTGTGATGTGGAGGCAGACGCGAACGAGGACTTCGAAAGACTTGAGTTTAGCCGAGATCCTTGGAGGAAATCAACTGCTAATAAGGATTATCAGTTCGTTTCATTTTTTTCTTTGCTGTTTCGGCTGCATTCATCATTACATTAATATGGAAACATCGCAAATGAAGTAAATAGATTGATTTGATTCGTTTGGTTCAGATTGTGCATTAATCAATCAGTGCTTTCATCCTGTAATTGCTAATAATGATTAGTTGAATATTGATCGGTCGGTCAGAAATTCATTGCCGATTCGTTCTTCATTGTGTTTTTGATATAATTTTTAGAAACTTCACTAAATTTTAATTTCAATCGCGCGTGTCTAATTGTGTTCGTTGTGTTCACTTCAGAATGTGCACTTTGAAAATAATGATTTTTTATGTTGGAAATTATCGTCACAAACCTTCATAAATAGTAATTGTTCTCATGCTTGAGGCTGTGCGAGACGTATCCGGAGACCGTGATCGTGCCGGAAGTGATCACCGACGATCAGCTGAAGTCGGCGAGTGAAGGTCGATTCCTGAACCGTTTCCCGGCGGTCGTATGGCGATGTAAAGGGAACGGAAGCGTTCTGTTGAGAAGTAGTCAACCGCGGGTTGGTCTCTTCTCGTACAGATACGTTCAGGACGAACTCATCCTCGAGTCCGTGCGCCGCGCCAATCCGCAAGGTTCGTTCGTGTGTGTCTCTATGATTATCAGTAGCACTCTCGTTATCGCAATCCTTCAGGAAATACGCACTCGACACTGCTCATCGTTGATGCACGTTCGTATACGGCAGCGTTCGCGAATCGTGCCAAAGGGGGTGGATTCGAATCAGCAGGTTACTTCTTTTACCTGGCGATCTTTTACCTGTCTTCGCTCTCTGTGAGGGCGTAGGTCAACTGATTTCCATGTTTCTCTATTGTGAGCAAACCTTTACCATCTGTGACCAAACAATCCAACAAATGGTTCGTCCCATCTTGTACGAGGTCTTCCTAGGGGCCTTTTCACTCCTCCTAGAATCCACTATGTTATCCGATTAGTCTAACGGTTATCGCTCATTCTTGCGATGTGCAATATTACAACAGTCACTTCTTGATCAGAGTTAATTCAGCGAGCAGTTTTTATGGGTTCTGGTGAGTAAGAAGTTGTATTTTCAGAATATTATCGTCAAACGGAAGTGCAGTTTATGGGTTTGCCAAACATCCACAACATTCGTTATAGTTTCAATCAGTTGCGTGCTTTATTATCAGGACCACGCGACCAGTCCACTTTCCTACAGTCACTACAAACAACGCAGTGGTTGCATTACTTGAGCAGTCTAATCGACGTAGCACAACAGTGTGTCACCGCAATGTGTGATGATGGCTAGTTCATATTATTGTTATTCCCANACAGTCACCAATTCTTGATGATTTTTTTCCACCGTTTTCATCCGTGAAGTAGCGTTCTTTGCGTTATGAAAGTGAACATTAAACTGAAATTCTAGGTCGTTCGGTTCTGGTGCATTGTTCAGATGGCTGGGATCGTACCACACAAATCGTCTCGTTAGCTAAACTAATCGCTGATCCTTACTACCGAACAATACCTGGCTTTATTTATTTGATTCGACGGGAATGGATCGACTTCGGGCATAAATTCGCTGATCGAAACGGTGTTCGGAATGGAGATCCAAACGAGCGATCACCAGTCTTCTTGCAATGGCTCGACTGCGTTCATCAACTGCAAAACCAGTTCCCGACAGCTTTTCAGTTCACGAGGGCTTTTCTTGTTAGTTATTTGTTGCTGCTCATTTCGCAGTTGATTTGGTAATTTGCTAGTAGCGATCCTTATTATTATTATTTGAACTTGGATGGATATGTTTAGTGTTACTTTTGATTTGTTTGGATCAGTTGTAAAACAGTTACATTCTTCACACGTGCTTATTTATGTTACAGTGATATGATAACGTTTTTAGACAAAATTAGCGCAACACTGCTATTCGGGTATGTTTGGCACGTTTCTGTGGAACAGTTTGAGTGAGAAAGGCAGAATGACAGCGGAAATGAATGCACACAGAGAAATAAAGGCAGAGACATTGTCGGTGTGGGATTATTTGAACGAACTGAGGGCTGAATTTGTGAATGTGGTTTATGAGGAGCCGAATAAGAATAAGAAGACGGAACGTTTGCGTGCGTATGCGGGTGTTGAGCACATGATTATTTGGAAGGATCTTTACATCGGACCTGCCGTTGAGCAACGTATCAATGCACCGGTTAGTTGATTCTTCATGATCGCATTGTGCTGTTTGGACTCTGAAGCGTTCGAGAATTGATATTATAATGAGCGTGAATTGAAGGACGAGACGCATCATTCGATAGTGATGGGACTGGGAACGAGTCAGCACAGTGAAGCTGATCGCGGCATCTATCGTGCGCACTCTGCGGAGAGTTTGACGAGTAATGATATGATCGCATCGCAGTCAAATTGCAATCAACCGTCAGTTCTGATTGCTTGATCGATTGATTTCATTCCCATTAATACTCTTTCTTTTTTTTTCTACGTAGTCTTCAAGAATGATGACCGTAGTTCATTGATGTTAGATGTTGGATTCATCATACAGATCTGGAGTATTTAAAAGTATAGAATAGTGATTCAGTAATAGGTAACGGGTAATCGGCTTATTTCAATTATTTCCTCTTTTTGTTTGATCGCAAATTTCAATGAATGCTTCAAATAATGTTGATTTGATAATAATTCCAGCTACGGTACTAGTTTCGCGCCAACGCCAACACTCAATGCAACGCGATCGTCGATACCGAGTGACATCGATCCTATTTCAAGCACGTCAACATCCAAACATTTACAACCGCATCACAATTCTCTTCTTACGGTGAATTTTCATGTCAATTGCTGAATATCAATCACCTCACCGCAATTCAACAGTTCTGAATGAGGGTTATAGGTCGATATTCATTCAGCTAACTTCATCAAAGACATGATCAAATAATAATAATAATGTGATTTTTAGCGTGAATTAGATGCAGATGGTTTAACAAGAATGGTGAATGTTTTCCAAGAGCAAGCACGTAAGAGAATCGATGTTCTGGAGGTTCGTTGTTTTGTTTTGTTCTGATGAGATAGATCATCGTATTTCATATGATTTGTTCGTATTTGATTCGTATAGCAGTTTGATTGATCGGTTGTGATGAGGGCTTTTTGATGCGAACATTTATTCAGCTGTAAAGTCGCGTTTCATATTCTGAGAATTTCGGGACTTTCAGTTGTTTGAACTGAATTCTGCTGAATACTTCACAGAAGATCATTCATTGTCTGGTTTAAGGTAGAGCATTAATATTGAGCACAATGGAATTGAACGATGTTCTGTTGAGGGAATCTAGTGAATAGTATTAAAACATTTCTTTTTGCTTTAATCCAGTACGAGCTTAAGAATGGAAACGGTTTAACTCATTCCTGTACAGAGTTTGTGTTCTTGTCATTATGAAGAGTTCAATTCTAATTTGATGCTTTGTTTGGTGTGAGTTGAGTGATTCATTCAAACGATTAATGACGAATAAAGTTTTGTGTATTCGTCATTTATGTTTTAGAAAATGAAACGTCAATATGAGCAACGTATAAAGGATTTGGAACGCGAAAATAAACAGTATAAAAGTGCTGAACCATCACCTTCAAATGTATCGCGTTCGGTTGGTAAATTAGTTCAATTTTATTGTGTTTGAATCGTTTTACGTTTTGATACATTATTATTAATATTATTATTTCAATTTCATTCGTTTGAATTGAATTCTGCTGAATATTTAGCAGAAGATGATTGCCTTTTTAAAAATGCGCACGAAGAGCATATCGTGCGTTATTGTCTTCATTTATGATATCGCTATTGCTATCAAACAAACTGAGTGTTGTCCACTCGGTTGATTCATCCGTTTACGTTCCACTTAACGACCGTTTGATAGCGTTCCTTCGCTTCCTTTCGGTAGTGATAATAATAAAATATTTTCTTTAACGCAATGAATTGCCTTAAAGAAAATATTTTTGTTATTGAATTATTAAATGCAATGTTAATGTGTCACATGTGAACTTCTGAGCATAAAAGAGATGGAATTTTAATCGTTCACTCCAAACTGATTCGATGAGCGAAAACGAACTGTTTACTCTTCAAGCACTCTTGTTCAGCGGTCGTTCCGTAAAGGGAAACCTTTTAGTGAATGAGAGAATGAACACGTATCTTGAATGAGAAGGTGATTTATTCAGGTAACTAATGAATGAACAAAGTTTAGTTCGGAGATGAGAACAGTGAAAGCGGAGGGTCGAGATCAGTCGATTCAACGTTATCGGGTGTATCGCTGATTGAAAAAGATGATACTTCGGACATATCAGATGGTTCCAAAGGATGGCTAGTGGACAGCGCGTCTCCGAATTGTATGAATTGCCAACAACCGTTTTATTTCAACAATCGAAAACATCATTGCAGGTTGGATTATTACTGTTATCATTAGAGTTGTTATGATACGAGAGCGTTTGTTGTTTTGTCGTTCGAAGTTGTAATGCAAGTTAACGAGTTGTTGACACAATTCAGGAGTTGTGGCAAGTTGTTTTGTGGAAAGTGCACGAGCTTTACGTACCATCGAGTGCAGGACAACAAAGGTGAGCAGGTGCGAGTGTGCCACGATTGTTATATGCGGATGTCACGTGCCACTGATACAAGAGATGCGATCATGTGCACTCCGAATGGCGTGAATATAGATTCGGATGCGAGTGTGAACGCAATAACATCTTCATCGTCATCGAGCACAACTCAAACTGCATCGCACAGTAACGCCAAACCAACCNCGAGCACACATGAATCGCCACATTTCATAATTGGTTCTGGAAATGGTCAACCTGTTTTTGGTTAACTCTTGTTAGGGTTGATTACTGCTTTATTGGCCTCATGTAGAGCATAAATTTAGGCGTATATGGTGTACGATTGATGTACTGATATGTTTCTGTTTTTGTATTAGATGACAATTTCATTTAGGCACAACGCAGTGACTATTCGTTTGAATTAAGTGTCGAAGAAGTTTCGTGGTTTTGCATCTGATCTAACTGAATCTTTATTGCGATACATCTCGAATGTGTTCGTTTGAGAGAGATTTGCGTTGTCATAAAATGCACAACTGAATTAAAAATCTAACGTGGATAGCGTACCGTTTGGGAAAGATTAATTGATTGCTCATTTGAGTGCAAAAAGAGATGAATGAATATTGTTTGCCAGCCGGAAGTGATAAGAAATTGAAGTTGTCATATTACTGGAAGAATGAAATGGATAATATTATGATTACGTGATGAATGAAGTGATATTTGATTAACGAGCACCATCCTTATTGTATTTTGATTCTTTAATAAGCTCAGTGCAATGTCTTCTTGAAAATATGGTTTAATTTCATCAATTCGTATGAATTTATTAAAACCACCGATGTTTTTTCAATTAGTGCCAATGAGTAGAGATTTTCAGTTCCGTATTCACCTATCATTCCGTGGAATTCTATTGAACAGTCGAGTAAGTTGGTAATAAAGGTAGTAACAATCTCTTATAAATAACTCGATTGACTCGATCGAATGAAATGATAAGTGACGATGCATAAATCAGTTAGTTGATAATTGAATTACATCAGTCACTAATCGCATCAAGCACCGATCGTTCCACATACCTAGTTTACAGTAAATAATTTACACATTCGTTGTTATTTCGTATCAGTGTTGAGTATTGTTCACCTCGTTTTGTTTTAACCGATTGCTCGATGTCGTTTGTGTTGCTGTTTCGATTGCAGACACATAAATATCTTACTGGTATATTCGTAATATTCGCTATTGTTTTATTGCCCTTTCCTTCAAATACACATATTTCATTTACTGTGTACATAATGCTACTGTTGTTTGATATGATTTGATATGAGCTCAAACCGGTGTGTACGCGTTATNNNTATTATTATTATTATTATTATTATTATTATTATTGACTTTGTATTTGGATTGTTTAGCGTTTGTGGATTGTTTTGTTCTGATGGTCGATGTGACTGCGATTGGTTTCGTTTTAGTGGAACATCATTTTACCTGAGAAGAAAGTTGTTCTTATTTCGTTTGTTCAGGAAATTGCTTAGGTTTAGTTAATGCAGAGTTTAGTATTGTAGTTCGCCGTTATCGTCGACAAATTTTCAACTTAATCCTCGTCGTATCGTATTTCACAGTATTCATTTATTCCTCTTGATTTAAGTTGCGGTTTGATCCCCCCTTCCTACAAATCGACAAACGTTTTGTATTCCATTATACTTCTCACTGCTCACACGCTTGTTTACAGTAGCATTACTTTGTTCAATTATCTTCTGGTATTTAGTGCAACGAACTTGATTATTTGAAAATGATGACATTTTACGAAAATTTTTATGCTATATTGTGTATCTTTAATGTTTCCAATAATATCGAATTTAAGAAGTGTTTAATTTATTATTGTTTCGCTTTAATATCAAACGATGCTCGAGTTCTTCGCAGCACTGTGCTATTTGTAACACTTATTCTTTGTTTTCACATAGTATTTATTACATCCTGTATGTTTCACTATTAATTTAGCAGATGTTCAATCCATTTTTTTTTCTCTATCATCGCTTGCAAAATGGCAGTAAACCGTGGAAATCTCGCCTAGAATTCGGCTAGACCACACTTCATACAAACCACAAATAATACCAGTGCTTATTCGTTCGGCAAATGGTCTGTTTGTGACGCTAAGAGATTCAGATATCCGATAAAGTTAGACTTCAGAAAATAAGCTGGTTCTCCCATGAGCCTGCATTCTGGATCCGTGCAGTGTTGAGGTTTGTTGGATTAGTCTAGTTGGATCGTAATAAATCGTGGCTCATTTGGGTGGATGATTTTGGGAGTATTCGGAAATATTCTCAATGAATTAGTCTCCGAAAGTATTCCACGGCGTGCTCCAAGATAATTTGAAGATACGGTGAAATTTTTGTTGTTTTTCAGTTTTGTTGGCGTAAGTAAACGTTTGCTGCTTGCTCGCTTCTCAGTCAAAACAATATTTAAAATCATGTGATCGAATCGATTTTTGAAAGAGTTCTCTGTGTTCATCACTTACTTCCAATCCCCTCTATCGCCCAACGGTTCATTCGAAAATCAAATTCTTATCTCCAAGAAAAGATCATGGAAAAATGCTTCCTTAAAACATCACTTTCGAGTACCATTTCCATTCGTCCTCTCCCATTTGTTACCTAGAATGTATTTCTAACAGTTTTGGTAGAACATTCTCCAAAATTTATCTTCTGCTCTTCTGTCTGCATCATCACCGTTCATATCATCCCGTAAACCTCTTCGTTTCATAGATTTTTTTGCAAATGAGCAAATTTCCTTTTTCTAACTTATGAAAAATGAATGTCGTTTGACGTTAGCGATTTTCATTTGCGTTTTTTGTTTGCACTTCGACATGGTAATATCGTTGTGTGTGTGTGTGTAAGTGTATGTCTTTTCGATTTTTTGGAGAATTTGAGTTGATATATGTTTGACGAGTATTAGGGAAGTTTCGTAAGATTATTATTATTATTAATTCACTGTTGTATTGTTCTTTATATTAATCGTTTCCTTTTTTGTGATGACATTAATACTACGATGCGCATTATGATATAATGCAATCTGAATATCGGTGTTTTTCATTCGTTCACTGTTTGGTTAAATCATTGAGGAAGTGTATTAATCAGATCGTATTTATATTATAAGTTGATTACGTCCATTGATGTTTATCGCTTTTTTTGGTTCATTTCGCTTGAATGAAACACAAATTTGGTGAATTCTTACAGTTGTTCGAGCATATTAGTGAGAATGGTGTTATTGTGATTATAAACGTTCTTTACACTGACAGTAAATGATTCATATTTTGTGTTGCTATTAGATGTGTGTATGTGTGTTTGTGCAGAAGAGTAAGTTTATTTCTTACTGTGTGTTACATTGCTTGATTGAGTGTTCTGTTTGTGTGCTGCTGGCGATATCAGTGCTTTTTAGGTGGATTCGGAGGGATCGCGGTAATCGTTATGCAGTCAATTGAGAAATTTTATTTGTTAACGAAGCGAAACACTATTTAATTGAACGCGATTATTGAAAGAGCCCGGCAATTGATGGATTTTCCACTGCTTCAGTAGTGTGTTTGATTGATTGCACGAGCGATTGATCAGTTCGTGGAAAATGCGATTTGTGGGGATCGGAGGAATGAATGCATAGATAGAACAAGAACGGCTGATTACTTACAGTTGGTTGTATTCATTGTTCATGGAGATGCACTTAGGATTGGAACGATCATGACCATTATTATCACATTAGCATATGGTGCTTATATGAGGAGAGAAGATGAATTGCTGAAACAGTTAATCGCTCATATAAGTTTCTTTCCTGGTATTCTCTGAATCAGTTATTGGCTTGATTGTGATCGAATGAATACCTTCCTCATCGAATAACTTTTATTCACGTCGTTTATTCTTCTTCTTCGTACACAAACGAAATATTTCTACAGAAATGATCGATAACACCAACTCACAATTGACCAAATAAGAACCTTGCTATGTGCAAAGATTTTGGCATGTGAACGGGAAGCCGGATTGAATTGATTGATTATTTATGATGATGGGTTGTATAATTATGCATGAGTGGATAGGGTTGGGGAGATAGGCGTTAATCACTTAGCCAGGAGGATGCCTCCTGAAACGTGGGATTTTGTGCTGTGATAATATCATTGAGTATTGAAGAATATCGGTGAGATTGTGTTCGTTTGATTTGTGGTCGAATACACACACTAACTGGATTAGACGTTTTGTATTGAGGTGATGAGGTGCGTTTATGAGACGGTAAGCAAATATTTAAATGGATGCTGTTCGTTGCAAGCGTACGAAAAGATTTGTTTGTGTAAATAGTCGCAATTAGAATACTCGGTGAACAGAACGATGTATCGTTGAACGTTTGTTAATTTTAATTCAACTTTTTTGCGTAATCATATGCACAAGTTCGAACACACCACTCAAAAAGAACATCTTTCGTCGTTCTTTCAGCGCTTTTTGAATTAGCAATTCAAATGAACATTTGTGTGATTTATTTTCTTTCGTTTGGCTATCATCTCATAGTCAATTTTCATATGAACGCTTTATTCCGTATGAATTTCTTTTTTGTGCTTCATATTGCTAAACGATGAAAGACGTGAATCAGTCAGTGAATTTGGTCAGATTGAATCATTCTTCTCAAAATCAATCATTTGATCGTTTTCAGAAGAATCGATCTCTCAACGATATGATGAAGAACGATTGTGATTAATCATCACCGTTGTTGTTGTTGTTATCGTACGTCACTATTCTTGATGAACTGCTATAATTCATCGTTAAGATTTATTAATCATCAGTTCCAGTCCAATTCATTCTCACAAGTAAAATTAATCATCTACAACTGAATATATAACCACTATTCATTCATGGAACATTTCAATTAATTGACTCTATTATGAATTATGGCAGCAACCTACTATCAACAGCAAAATGCGAATTATGTTACGGTAAGCTGAATGCTAAAATTAATCAGCACTTTATATATCATCAGCATAAGTGTACTGTTGAAGTAGATCGCTTTGTTTGTTAATGGAACAGAGCTCTAATCCCAGCGGGGGAGATGGTCAGCTTCGAAGGGTTTTTTATTATTCTAAATGACGCAATAAAGTATCATCGAATCTGCCAACAACTGTAAAACTCCTTATCGTCACTGTTATATTTTTTCCTCTTTTCCGCCGTCACTATTTTGGCATGTGACGCGTAAACCAGATTGCATTGATTGATAAGTTGTGATCGGTTGTTTAATTACACTTGTGTGGATAGGACTGAAGACGTGCTATCAGTCGGACATTATCAGCTGACATCGAGCAGATTTTGTTCGTTTGATAGTTGCTCTTCTTACTTTCATAAGATATTTATGAGCGCTTCGAAGAAAATTGTGGTGATGATTATTTGAATGAATAGGAATGCTATTGATAAAATAGTTATTGAAATAATAATGTTCTTAAGATTCTGTCGATATATGATGAAGAAGATGATGCCGATAAGTCAGCATCATCTCAGTTGAAGAGCCAATCGCCAATGCAACCACCAGTCGCATGCTCGTCACCAGTCAGCACCTCATCCAAAAGCAAGTCTCATCGCAACCAAACAACAACCATTCTCACAACGAATAATACCAGTGATGGCGATATTGTTGAAATTACGAGTCTCGCCGAACCACCGAGTTTGTTTTCGTTCTTCATTCATTTCATACCAATGGTTCGATGATTCTTACTCGCCTGTTGGCTTCTTCATACCATCCTCTTTTGCCTTCGATGTCAAAAGAATAATCCAAAGAAGTCACTTCGAGTAAATTCATAGCATTGTCACGGCTCATTCTATACGTATATGAATATGGAATGTGCTGAATTGAGAGTGGATGCTGCATGATCGATAAATTTGAATGCGTTTGAAATGACTTATGAATTTTGTGGTATGACGGATTGCACTGTAAAATAGGTGCCACCGAATGTCTCAAAAATCGAAAATTGTGCAAAGACTCGAGACGTTGAGAAGCTGTTATTAGGTTTAACATTTTTCACATTAGAAGAATTCATCTGAAGTTACGGATGATGTGTGATAGCTTCTAAAAGCGAATTATAGCACATGGACTTCGAGTGCTGTCGGGTGCAGCGAATTTACACGATCAGCAGCCGTCGTCGTCTTCGATAGTCGTAACTGATCATAACAGGGATAGAGATGAACCGCCATCTCTGAGACATTACCAGCAGTCGTCCTCCTCGTCCACCTACAACAAACGCCACCTCCAATCCGTATTAACCAATGAAAGTAACAATCGATCATCAAATAAAAATATCAAACACAAATACTCCACGCCTTCATCGTCCACTGCAGCTGCAGGTTTTTATTTTTATTCGCTTTTTGGAATGCTTTTTCAAATTGTTCATTTCCTATCAGCTCGCTCCAACCACTATGTTGCTACAACGGATTTGTTATGCTTATTGGACTTGTTTCAGTGTCTATCACAACAATATGAGGTTGTTAGATGTGGTTGTGTAAGAGTTTAAAAACGTTCATAGTACAAAATTGAACATCGGTTTTGAGATGCTGATAAGAGTATTAGATTGTTTAAGTATTAGATTGTAATGTTTAAGCGATAAAAACAGCACATAGTTTTTGCTGAGCGCTATTATTATATTTGTGATTGCTTGTGCATTCATGTGTATCGTATGATTCACGTACATCATCGATGCGAAAATGATAGCTCGATGATGGTGATTTTGTTGAAGGAATGTGGGTACATACGTACAAATGACATTTATCATATGCATACACAATTTGAGACGTACGCATTTCACTTGTTGATAGTATGTTATCCGCGTCATTATTTCTCGTTTGTTTGCAATACGATTCTCTTGTTAACGCGATTTAATGCTTTTCGTATCTTAACGTGTACTGTCTTAACGTCTCTGAAGAGCAACTTAATGTTAGCATATCCGATCTAATAAACGTTACTCATGTGCATATCCTCTTTGTTTGTGTAATCAAATTAATTCATTCACTGGTCTCATTGCTTTGTGATTTTCTATTTATTTTCGTGCGATTGATAGTTATTTTTAGGTTATTTTTGTATGCACATTTTGTGTTTGTTTGTTCAACTTTCGCGTGATCTTCTTTTGTGCAATGTTAGCATATCAATTGGAACGTTGCGCAGTCTTAAGATTTTATGTCTTATGAAAGGATTGTTCAGAACAACTCACAATCAGTGATCGAGCAGATAGATCTTGCGAAATGCTAACTTCAAAATATTTCAAGTGATAGACAGGCATTGCTGCGTAGCGATCGAGCCGACTGTAGCAAATCTATAAAATTTACGAAATTGCATGTGGTTTTGAATGTGATCAGTTTTGAATGATCTAATCTATCATCTCATTGTTGAGCAGCGTGTTTGGTGTGATGAAACAATGTCTCGTCACAGTCGTATTTTCCATTTATTTATCTCCCTTCTTATGTGGGTATTACGTTAAGCTTTCTGGGGGCATCACTTCCAAGCATATGGGAAATGGCTCGCTGAATCGTTGATCAGATGTGAACGTTGATTGATTGATTGATTGATTGAATTCAGAGTGTAATTCGAAGGTGGTATCGACATCTGATAATAATAGTGCGATGATTGAACGGAACAATTTGCGTAAGTCGCGTATCACCGAGAGTTTGCTGGATGCAAAGGAGCGACTCGAAGAGGAGTTCTCTGAACGGAACGCCACTTCATTGTTGCAAAAACAAAAGCAACTTCAGCGAAATATCAACGCGAACAACAAAATAATACCACCGTTGGCGAGCTCGCATCCTGGTCGAACGGTTATCATTCTATCCGATTCGACGATCAACACGCCGATCGGAATTGAGGTTAGCACTTTGGTGTGGTCATTGCCTTTTTCGTGCTTACTTTATCGCATTTATATCCGATCAAGTGACGAACTCTTGAATCTTCTCAGAATGTGACTGATACTTGAATACTCCCCTCAACAAGTAATCTTTTGACTGATTTTGTACGACACCTTCTGATCTATGCTTCAGTGCTGTTGGTGGAAGCATCGTAGATTCGTTTGTGCGATTACCTTCGTCGTGTTAGATTTTGAAGTGTAGCTGAGGTATTTGGTAAGCTGAAGTTTTGATTGATTGGTCGCTTTGCAGATCTCACCGGTATATGATCCGGCGAATAGCAGTCGATTGCTGGCGGTCGAAATTCGACATATTGATGACGAGGGTCGAATTGCGTTGGACGGAAGGATTCGTTGCGGTGATCGACTCACCGAAATCAACGAACGACCCGTCTACCAGATGTCCATCTCTCGTGCACGTGCCTATCTGCATGAATTACAGTCCTCGCCACATCCCACCTTCACGGTTGACAGACCAATCGAATCTTTTCTCTGCGCAGGTGAATCAGTTCTTCGTCCGAATCAATCGGTTCTGTCTTATTGCAATCAATCCACGCATTCACAAATTATAATATAAGTCTACAGTGCACAACTGTGAAGTTTCCCTGTTGAAAAGAGCAAATGCGAAGTATTTGAATCAGACCAATCCTGAGATGAATAGTGGTGAGACAGTGATAGAACGATAGTTTCTTAAAACTTGTATGATGTGAAAACAAATGAATTGTTTTCAAGAGAATGAGATATCGCATTCTTCAAATCAGCCGTCGTCGTCGAGTCTGCATAAAAAGCCAATCTTATCAGCACTTCAACAGGCGAACACCACTGCCATTGGTCAAACATCTAACGTCCAAGTGACGAAACGTTAGTTCTGAAGATATTCTTCTTTAGTTGGATACTTCAAAACAAGAGCTTCATTCCAATATGATATGTAAACTACGTTCAAAAATGAAATAAATCTTTCTATTCATCGCACAAACGCAGTAGTTCGTTTATCGATACGGTGGTGCAGTGCAATCGCACTTTGATGACGTGTTGCGATGATTTCTTAGAATTTTAGTTTTGGAATCTTTAACAGTTTGTAGTATAAGATATAAAAGAGTTGGTATGATTAAGTGCACGAGATGATATGATTTCAGTAGTACAAGGTTTTGGATTTACGGTGACGAGTCGAGATACGGCAAAAGGTGAACGCTTGTTCTACATAGGTACAGTGAAGAAGGATGGTGCTGCAATAGATGTGCTCAAAGCGGGTGATCGCCTTCTGGAGGTAATTTGTGTGCTGCTTTTGTGTTGTTTTCGAGTGAAAGGCGAATCGGAATGCGACCTTGTTTATTGACAGATAAATGGTGAATCAACCACTGGTCTCCTTCAAAACGATGTTGTCGATCGGCTGAAGAAACTGAACGTTGGAGAAACTGTGAAGTTGTTGATCTCTCGGATTCCGAATTCGATCGATGATAACGATGCGAAATTAACGAACGCATTCAAGAAGAAGTTGTCATTGAACGATGAACAGCAACCGCAACAGCAAAGTGCGTGCGATGTGCAACATCAACGAAGCAAAAGGTATTGGTCTATTTCTTGATTTTCAATGCTTCTTTCATTCACGTGAAGCAAATGTTTGTGGTGAATAGACGAGATTTTGCGTGTATTTTAACATCTGCATTTCACAGGTTAGGCTTCGTAAAACTTTGTTTCACTTTCTGAAATAATTTTTTTTTNTTTTTTTTTCAAAATTGAAAAATGTTTTGGTTTTGTGAGAGAATAAAGTTGAAATTATGAAGATGTCAGCAATTGAATATGCATCCGAATATTATGGCATTATTGGTGTAAAAAGAGAGACAGATATGAAATTGGAGTGAATACAAAGTGAGAATGTTAACCGGTTGCAGTGAAGAAGTGCAAAAACGGTTGGACAGCGAACAGATACTGGATCTCGATATTGCATTGAATGAAACGGGTAGTGCTGGCTTGGGTGTTAGTCTGAAGGCACGAGCTGTGATGAAACCTGACGGCACCAGGGAGGACTGTGGTATTTTCATCAAAAAGGTATTCCATTCAGTGCTGCAATCCTTATTTCGCTTCACATTGAATTGCATTCATTATTATTTCTTCTCATATGGATTGAGTTAATCTTGATATGCAGTAGTGAAATCGTGTATCCCCGAAATATTTTATTAGCTGATGGCTTATAGCCATCCATTCGAATGTTGAATTTTACTAGTAAATGAAGTATATTGCTGCTAATGGCAAACTCATTGAACTTTTGTTATCATAGGGGATGAATGAATTATCAGTTTAGCTTTATGATCTCTTTTGAAGGTGTTACATGGCGGTGCTGCGTTCAAGGATGGTCGACTGCAAGTGAATGACCAGTTGATTGGGATCGAAGACATCGATCTGAGGTGTATGCTGAAGAATGCGGATGCGAGTGATGCGATCACCAAACGTCTCAAAGAAATCGGTTCGCTTCATTCCAATTTGCAGTGATGTTGTCGCAGTAATGAATAAAATTCATAATTCTTCTCAAGCAGATGCACTCTCAAAAAAGTCGGGAATTTAATGGATTTTAGTATATCTCTTTCTACCTGATTTGAGTAGATTGTTTCGTTGAAAAGTTGGGCAGTTTATATGTGTGTGATAGGAGTGGTTCTCAGTGAACAAATATGATTATAATTGTTCAGGTCCGTCTGCAAGCAGTGTTCGATTACGTATCGCTCGTAGCAGTGATGCGCACTCACTCGTGCTACCATCCAAATTAAGAAGCGATCTCAATGAATGTAAAGAGAATGAACAACATTCCAACACTGCTGAATACATCAACTCTGATAGCAGTAATATCACGCGACACCAGTCAGGTTTGTTCATTGTTCAGTTCATGCACTCGGATTCAGTTTTGAGAATATTTTCTTTTCTTTTAGAGGCGATGAAATTCGAAATTAATAGAATGAATAATCGAAGCAGTCGTCCCTAGAATGATGAATGCACCTGTCTGACTTTAGTGAGCATTAGTAAGGCGATGAATTTGGTGTGAATTAATTAAATTTGCGGATTCAGTTTTTGTTTGGAAAGGTTTTTAGTAGTAGTGTTATTTTGAAGGTTTGACTGATTGGTTGAACAAAAAATTTTTCGCCATTACGAACGCAAACGATTGTAAAGGAGACAAGATCAAGAATTAAGTATCGAATAATCTGTTCTTTGTTCAGATGACGATGAGACCAGCTATAACGGTGGTGATGTAGACGCCTTCGATCGAGAAAATCCAACGCGGAGGTTAGTCGATTAAAACTGTTGAAATTCAACGTGAACATTGGCAACATCTTTCAGTGAAACGAATCAACACTTTCAGATCGATCTCCGAAAAACGTCACATGGGTTCATCTTCGCATGGCGCCAGTCATACACTTGCCTATCAAAAAATCAAAAAGCTGAGACAAGCCAGTGGTATGTTTGTGACTGTTTGTCCGCGAAATCACTTTTAACTTCTTTTGATTATCACTTTTAACTTCTAGTTCAGTATGTGTGTCGCAATTGAATTGTTTAACATTTTCCAACTGTTTTTTTGCTCACTATCGAATATAGTTTCATTTTTCGATATATTCATCAAATGGAATTAACTACAGTCATGAAACTTCCATAATGCGATTTCAATAAAGAATTTTCACTGAAACTTTCCATGAATGATTCTTGACCGTATGCACTAGGTAAGAGTATTTTAAAACTGATTATTAAATACTTGCAAAATTTTGTCAGCATCAAATTTCAGTTTCACCGAAACGACGATCATTGAGTCTTGATAGCAGCAGTGTTAAACGGAAACAGTCAAATGAGAGCAGAAAGTGAGTTTAATTTGCAGTTTGAAGTGATTCAGAGGACATATCACGAGTCGTCTACATTATTGCATGTCGATGATTGCTAACATCAAACAAAAGTGATCTGACAGCAAAAGATTGCTTACCCATATAATATGATGTTGGTGTGAACGATTATCTTTCAGTTTATCGAATCTGTCTGAAGTCGATGTGAATGATGAAGTGATCTCAACGAACCACACCAATAAAACACCCTCCAAAAAGCAACTGCCGAGTGCAATGAAGCGTGCCCCGCAACAATTAACACAACAACAACAACGATCCCTAAGTATATCCAGTCCCAGCTTTCGACAAGCAATTGATGATCAAAATATCATCGATACGGCAGGTGAAGAGGCCATCTGATCTGTCTTCGTGCTTCTTTTCTGTTTCATTTCATAGAAATGCTATTTGCGCACTGTGAGATCGCACAGTATATTATTCTCTCTCATGAATTCAAATGTAATAGTTGATTCTAGAATTTATAGACAACGATAATATGAATAATCAGTTGTCAATGAACTCGCATCAGTCAAGACGATTGCATAAGGAAACATCACCTAACATCAGAGACAAAAATCAACGACGAAAATCTGCTGGAAGGTTGCTTGATTTGGCGTATTTATTCATTTATATTCTTTGTTTTCAAAATTGATTCGTTACTTTTCACTGATACGAATAATAAATATTTGAGTGAAGTTACATTTCGATGAACTTGAACAAATGGCTCAACTCGAGCAAAACAAACGAGTCAATTGGCTCTAACTTTACTTTGCTGAGTTTTGTTTTGTTGATTTGTATGTGAATGGTGCTGAACAAATTTGAATTTTTAGTAGCTTATTCTCACGATTGAGTCAGAAGCTCGGTGGTTCACGATCGCGTGAAGCTTCTCCTGAGAAGATTGCGAACGAGAGTTGTTGCATCGAGAGCTCGCATCAATTCGAAGAGGAAAAAAACAGGTGCAGTTGGTTTGTGTATTGGTCACTGCTTATTGTTACTCACCATCGTGTGTCGATTGATTGATTGATTGACTGATTGACTGCTTTGTCGTCTTCAGAAGAAAACATCAACAACGAGTTGAATTTGTACCAAACGATGCAGCGAACTCCTATTATAAAGCGGGCGTCATTCCTCCGCCGTACTATTTTGGCTGTCAGCAGTCATATTCGTACGATCCTTATGAACAGGTTTTTTTCATTTGTACTTTGTATGAATTTGCATCGGATTAACAGAATCATATGGAAATGTTTTTGAGGGGAATGTGATTGTTTGTAATTGATGATTGATGTTTTGCATTGCATCTGCATGCATCTGAATGGATGGTCTCGTCGAGCGAGCGATTACGCTGTCGATTGTGCCGAAAAATGAGTTTTGATTGACTGGATGGAACTGCATTAGAATTCGATGAAAATAGACGTTAACTTTCGATCAGCTGAACTAGACTGAACCTTTTTGACGGAAGAACGATTAGTGGATGTTCAGTTGATGATAACCTCATAACACCTTTGCTGATAATCTTTTTCATTCACAATCCTGTCAACGGTGTTTGCAATGCGCACACTACAGATACCTCCTTAAAGCTTCTCAAATTGTTTCATCCGAATTTGTGAATAAGACACTGATCTGATAGTACTCTTTTTTTGGTAAAACAGATACAACAGTGATATGAAAATTATAAGATGCGAATTCAGTTGTTTGAACGTGGGATTCAGAATTGAATGATTTAAGTATTTATCGCTTTGATAATTTGAAGATAATTGTTTCGATGGTGTCACTATCAAATTTGAATAACAGTGCAACATGGATCAAGTTGACAAGTTGAAATCACTCATAAAAAATGATTACAGTAATCATTGAAGTAGTCGTCTTGACGAACTATTTCGATGATTACTATGAGCGATAATCATTTCATACATATGCGTATCATGCAGTTCGAATACTTCATTTGCATGATAAATGAATCGAGCAGATCGTGTTGCACACATATTTGTGCGTATTCGTTACTAACAATAATCCAGTTTCGCATCTGCACTTCAACTGCTGGAAATTTGTTGATGTTTTATTGTACAATATCTTGTCGTAGCTGTTTTACACCCGTTTTTCTTCTTCGCGAATATTTTTTCTCAATAGTTTTTCAGTTTTTTCAAACTTCATCTAATCTTATCCACCATTTCATTGCTGACCTGCTATTGGTGAATATATTGTTTCATTAACGCTAATAGCTTTTAACGGTGAACGCCTTGAGAGGTATCTGTGATGTTCTTAACAGTCGAAACTGGTGGTATACGATATGTTTTTGAATGTTCGTTCGAAAGTATGTGAATTGTGCGCTTTTTGCACAAATTTGAAGAGCATTAAATTTGGCAATGAAAATCTGTCGTCAGTTTTGAGCATTGGGTGAATGCAGCAATTTAGAATCTCTCATTCGTTGTCGTTTCTTTATACGCGTTCTTTTGTTTGCTGTTCTCAGCTCGGTTTATATCTAAGCCAAACAATGAGTTATTTATTCCGAAATGGTGGTTGCTCTCTGCAAACGATTTCAGTTTAAAAATGCTTGTCTTATTCGAAAAAATGTTAGTAAAATCATATTACTCACTCAATGTTTTATTGACATATGTAATGCTAGCGGTAGTAAGTTGAATGATAATGCTCAACGAAAAGGTAATTGATATCAGCAAATATTCATTCAGGAAAATGCGAGCATTCAGCGAAATGCTCAATCATATGAATACGAAAGGAAACGAGTCTCAGCAACGTTGTCATCATCACCACACGTTCACAGTCAGCACGAGTGCATTCCATCATCCAACAATGTTCTATCAGTGGCAAACTCGAAATTCTATGCTAGTATGAATGATGAGACAAGGTGTGCGCGATTCCATTACACTACTGCTTCGTTGAGTTGTTGAAAGCAATGCTTATTCCATTGGCTGTTGGGTGTTTGCTTCGTTGTTTTTGTTGCGTCGTGCCGTTGGGTGGACAATCTTCAGAAGCGAGTAGACGGCTTGGCTGCTCGACGGCCGTCGTCATTATCGGAAAACTACTTCTGTCCTTGTTGCGAAACTTTTTGGGAAATGGGTTGAGTCTTGAGTAGGTCTCAATGTACGCCTGAGACTGATAATAAGCCCCAACTTGTCGGCCCCCTCAGCTGTTTACCCGTTGCAGTCGAGCAGTCTATAATCGATAGTTGCTGTTTTTTTTTTCTTTTTTAGTTGGCTTTTCAATTGATTTCGCCGTTAATTTATCTGCATGCCGCTTATAACCTTCATATGTATATATGCACATTGCTGGGAGGGATGCTCACTACTCTGTCAGTGTTCTATCAAAAGATTGCTCGTTTTGAGCTGAAGTGTTGTCGAGTTGAGTGCTCCGCCTGAAACTTGATAAAGCTTAAATCGAGTGGTGTTCATCACCATAACTATACAGTTATCGCCATCCTTCTCAGCCTGATCGGTTGAGGAAATAACTAATCCTGGAATGTGAGCAGCTCAGACTGATCCATTAGAGAAAGCATGTCAACTTGAAGTATCTGATCTATGTGATGTCAGATATCCCATGTGATGCTCTTCATCTTCCTTTCAATGATTACCTGCCGTGAATGCTGCTGTCTCTAATTATCAACTACTCAACCGATCATTG